GGATGGATGGGTAGATGGATGGACGGGCGATTACATGGATGGATGGATGGATGGGTGATTACATGGATGGGTGGATGGATGGGTAGATGGATGGATAGATGGATGGATGGATGGATGGGTGGATAGATGGATAGGTGATTGCATGGATGGATGGATGGATGGATGGATGGGTGGATGGATGGATGGGTGATTACATGGATGGGTGGATGGATGGGTGGATGGATGGATGGATGGGTGATTGCATGGATGGGTCGATGGATGGGTGGCTGGGTGGGTGGATGGGTGGATGGATGGATGGGTGATTGCATGGATGGATGATTGCATGGATGGGTGGATGGATGGGTGGATGGATGGACGGATGGGTAGACGGATAGGTAGATGGATGGATGGATGGACGGGTGGATGATTGCATGGATGGATGGATGGGTGGATTGATGGGTGGGTGACTGCATGGATGGGTGGATGGGTGGATGGATGGATGGATGGATGGAAGGATGGATGGGTGATTGCATGGATGGATGGATGGGTGATTGCATTGATGGATGGATGGGTGATTGCATTGATGGATGGATGGGTAGATGGATGGATGGGTGATTACATGGATGGGTGATTACATGGATGGGTGGATTGATGGGTGGGTGACTGCATGGGTGGGTGGATGGATGGATGGATGGATGGGTGATTGGATGGATGGGTGATTGGATGGATGGATGGATGCATGGGTGGTTACATAAATGGATGGATGAATGAATGGTTGCAAGGATGGATGCTTGCATAGATGAATGGATGGTTGTTTGGGTAGAGGGATGGGTGGGTGGATGGATGATTGCATGGATGGAAAAGTAGCCACTTGTACCCACAAAATATGCATTATAAACAGTTTATTGATATCTGAAGACAAAGTTTAAGAAAAGGGTTAAAATGTTCTTGAATATTTTAACTTAAAGAATTTAAGCAGTTTTCCTTATGTGGCCACTGACTTTCCTGGGGCTCCAGGTGGGATGGCAGGGTTCTTTGGAGACCAACAGAGCAGGTCCATCTTTTCATACCATCCCTGGAGAAGCCACAGGCCTGGCATACCCCCACCCACCCTAACCTGTGCTCCCTCCTTTGGCTCTGGGGTAGATCCTGTGTGAACATGTGACACTGATGATAAACCCTTCTCTCCATGGCAGTCATGAGCAGGGACTGGACCCACAGAACTCTCATCACAGACACCATTCTGGGGGCCAGGGGCACCAGCTACAACCTGCACAAGAGGACCACGCACAGGGCCCAGACCCAGGACTTGCCCTCAGCCCCACGACTCGGGAGACCATCCCCCGCCACACCCCGTCCAGGGCCGCACACCAGCCTCAGGCTCCCCTGGCTGCACACTCAGTCAGCAGCCTCCTCATCACCGCTCCCCCCAAGAGTGGGCGAGAGGGATCCTGGGATCCGCTCCCCTGTGCAGACAGACACAGCCCCGCCTGGCTCGCCGCTGCCCTCCCTCCTGGGTGCCCCTCCCCACTCACCACAGCACAGGGTCTTCCCGCCCTCTTCACTGCTGGGCTGTGTCAGTCGCCCAGTGAGACAAGCGCATTGACCTTAACCTGGGGCACAACTCTGAGAGCTACTCAGGCCCTTAGCAGCGCCCGGCGCTGAGCACTTGAGGAACCCGCCCTGCGTGTGAAGGGACAGCACGACACAGGGAAAGAGCGGACTGGTCACCTGAACTTGTACGCTTGCTCCTGGATTCTGACCAACAGCGGGGTCTCATTTGCTATAAACCAGGGCTCCCCATCCTCCACGAACGGCGGAACATCGTTGGCGAACATGCGGGCGTCCAGCTCTTTGCGGAAGGAGCATGTCATGGGCAGGTGGCAGTTGTCGGTTGAGTAGATGGACATCTCTGGGGGCAGCGTCAGGTCGTCATTCAGAAGAAACCGCTTATACTCGTAGAAAAAGGGGTCCTGCCCCTCGCGCAGGCCCCAGCCCATCGTCTCCACGTCTGAGAGGCGGATCCTGGCAGGAGCGCCCGTGCGGAAGCCGGAGAGCTCGGGGCGGCTGCGCAGGGAGAAGCCGCCGGGCACCGCGGCGCACAGCTTGATGAGGTGCTCCCGGAACCACAGCCCCACGTCCTGGCTGCCGTCGGGGTAGGTCTCGACGCCCGGACCAAACCGTTCGTCTGCTTTGTACAGCCCCTGCGAAGGAACGTTCAGCGGGGCCGAGAGGAGACGGTCAGCAGGGCTGTCCTCTTTGCGAATATCAAAGGAAGACACATTCTAAGAAACGTATTCCCTCGTTCCATCAGCGTTTGCTGAGCTTAGCGCGAGCCAGGCGCTGGGCACACACAGGCCAGACCCGCTCTCTCGGACAGGCAGCTGAGGCCCAAACCCCGCATGTGTTGGCGGAGAAGGGCGTGACGGGGCTCGACAGGAGAGATGGGGGCAGGGCCGCCAGGGGCCTCTGAGAAGGGAGAGGTAAGAAGAGGACTCACAGGAGAGGAGGAGGGGGGGGAGGAAGAGGAGGAGGAGCTAATCCTTGCTCCCCAGAAACCCAGCACAGCCAGCGACCTGCAGGCCTTTCCTTTGGGCTGGGCAGTCTCTTCCTCAGAGAGGCGTGCCCAGGAGGGCCTTTGACTCCAGATGGGAGCGACAGCTGCCCCACGTCGGGCAGGCAGCCCAGGACGCGCCCCTTCCCAGGGCAGGTGCGTCCTCCTGAGATGGTGGGGAAGGGTGCCTGGGGGTCACCAGGTGGTCAGAGAAAACCACGCAAGCAGGGTGTGGGGCCTGAAGCAGGGAACAGCAGGGACGCCGGGCTCCCTGGGCCTGTGCCCCGTCTGCGAAAGGGAAGGCTCCCAGCTCCGGGTCTCCCTCCACTCGCACCCGCCTGAGCACCTCTGGCCGCAAGGCCAGGGCTGGACACTGGGCATGAGGCTTCCTGGCGCTTGGCTCCGGCCCACAAGGAGCTGGCAACATGGACGCGGAGGCAGAGGAGGAAAAGAGCAGGTAAACTGCGCCAGGATGACTCCGCTCTGCACAGGAGCTGGGGCGGGGCGGGAGGAGTGGTTCAGCGGAGTGGGGTGCCTGGGGGAGCAGTGTGGAGAGACGGGAGCAGTGAGGTGGGCACAGGCAGCCCAGGCGGTTCTGGAGGGCCTGGGGCGCGGCGGGGTGGGGCACAGTCCCCAAGGCAGTGTCGGCCACAGGAGCAGATGGGCTGGGAAGAAAATCTCGGGGCCTGGCAAGCGCAGGGGCCCGGGTGGGGCAGGCAAGGAGGCAGCCGCTGCAGACACAGTTGTCGAGTCCATGGAGGCCGCCCCTGGCCCCGCCGCCCTGCTGCTGGGCTCTGCCGGAGGGAAATAATCTGAACGTCTTCAGAGAGGCAATCACAGATTTGCTCACCACAACCGCATTTATAACAGCAAATAAGAATAACAATATCCCAAAGGTTGAATAAAAGAGGGTGTGTCCACAGGACGAATGTCGTACAGACTGAAAATTCTGTTTCTGATTTGCGTTTGCTTTTTGAACAAACAATCCCACTTCTCAGAAGGCGTCCCGCGGATCTCCAGCGGGCATGCAGAAGGATGCGTGTGCGAGACCGTTCACCGCAACACTGTCCACACACGACGACTCGGGGAGGGTCCCCGTCACCAGTCCTTCCCGAACGCGGTGAAGGACAGGTCTGTCTTCAGGACAACGTGGAAACTGCAGGCGGAGGGAAGTGCACGGGGAAAGGAACACGCATGAACGGTTGTTCACGCTTCGTAAACACAAAGACAAGCCCCAGACTGTAAGACGATCACCTACGGCAAGGGAGGGGCCAAGACGGAGGAGAAAGGGTCAGAGCTGAACTCCTCTGCGCAGACCCCGTTTTCTAGATTTGACTCTGGAACAACGTGAATTACTCTCACGATTACAAAACGGAATGAAAGAAAGATTTTAAAAACAGGATCCTAAGAAAGCAAGCAAAACAAAACAAGTGAATGTGGCTCTATATGCAGGCGGAGGGTCAATCAGAGAGGAATCGTGTCCCGTGGCTCCCTATGCGGTGACCTGAGTCCACGCCCCATGGAACAAGCCTTCGGGACAAAGAGAACAGCAAAGGAACCTCGACCTGTCCTCGGTAATTGTCATGGCAGTGATGCTGCTGTGTTGTTTTTCTGAACGATTGAACAGTTTTACAAGATAAAGCAAACAAGAAATTCTGTTAATGGCTAGAAACCAACGTTGTCAGCTTCAGAGGAGAGGAATACAAATACCACAGCTAGTAAGTAAAAACCCTGTACCCCTAAATCAGAATTGGAAATATCAGTATGAAATGAAGATGTATTTTCTCATCTCTAGAAAGTATTTTTTAGCTCTTTCTACCGAAAAAAACCTAGAAATCATAACCAGCCAAGGCAGTGTCCTGACACCCCCACAGTCCCCAGACACCCAGCCCCACTAACAGAGCCAGGTCCGACGGATGGACGGGCGATGCAGGTCAGGGCAGAACGTGCACCGACGAGCCGGGACCCGCTCATCAGAGCAGAAAGAAGCAAGCTCTCGATACCAGCACCTGCTGGAGTTGCGTCAAAATCTCAACAACTGAAGAGGCTTTCCCTGACCAATGTGGGCACCAAAAACCATAAAAACTGCAGTAGACTGAAACACGTCAAATATATTAAAGTTCATAAATTTATAAAGATACGAAAAAAACTAACCTTCATTGATCACCATTGAATGGTGTTAGGAAATCAATTTATTATTCTGAGAGCTGATTTTAAAAAAGGAAAAGATCAACTATGTATCTTGCCTTTTCTACCTCAAGGTAACCAAACAATTGACAAAGAAATTCACTTACAATTAAAGAATTCTAGTTAATAAATGCAAGACAAGTAATAGAATTACGACATAACTATCTGCACCCCCTAATGAAACAACAGCTCTAGACAACGACCATCAGCACTGTCTGAAACCACTGCAGGAGAGGCTGGTGGGTCACTGCACTGGACGGAGTGTGGCTGTTCCCACCCCCCACTCGTCAATCCCAACATCACAAAAAGAAAGACAAGCAGACGTGCGTCAGATGTGACTCGTAACCGAGATGCGCAGGCGCGGCCGTGGGGAATGACCATCTTTCAGGGATGGAGCTGGAACATTGGACACCCGCAAAGCAAGGCGGGGCAGGACAAGGGGGAGAAAGCGCCAACCCTAGCTTCACGCACAACACGAAAATTAACTCAAAATGACCACAGACTTAAAGGTGAGGGCTAAAACCATATAACTTAGAAGAAAACATGGAGGAAAATCTTAGTAACCTAGGGTCATGCAAAGATTTCTTAAATAGGACACAGAAAAGTAAGAAACATGAAACAAAAATTGGAAAGTTGGACTTCATCACAATGTTTTTAAATCTGCTTTTCAAAAGACATTTTTAAGAAAATGAAAAGACAAGCTACTACTGGGAGAAAATATTTATAAATCAAATAACTAATAAATGCTTGTATCCCATAATATACATAAAGAACGCTGTAACTCCATAAGAGCACAAATAATGCAATCAAAAGCAATAAGTAAAACACATTAACAAACACTTCACCGTAGAAAATACGTAGATAGAAAACAAGAACATCAAAAAAGTGTTCAATATCATTAGTCATTACAGCATTGCAAATTCAAACCATAAAGCACAGCACACCCATAAGAATGGCTACGATGGAAAGACGGGCACTACCAGACATTGACAAGGGTGTGAGGCAGCTGGAACTTCCATATATTGATGGTTGAAATGCAAAATGGCGCAACCACTTTGGAAAACAGTTTGGTAGTTTCTTATAAAATCTACCACATACTTACCATTGTGACCAGCAATCCCACTCTTAGGATTTATCCAAGTTGTGAACTAAAAATAAAATCCTAAGCCCCCCACTGGCTGAAAAGACCCCTCTCAGCCAAGAAGACCCCAGAAAAATCTTTAAAACTGAGTTCCCAGCCATGACGGGACAGCAGGTATGAAGCACAACTCACGTGCACGGTCCCTCTTCATAAATATTCGTGACTCCTCTCACGGCTTGTGAAATAGGTATATTTAGCCACCGTGCTCACTGTAAAGTCCTGTTCCCTTTTACCTGTTCTGTTCCCAGAAACATGTGTTCCCGGCTGTGGACAGAGCGGAGTTTCCCAGCCCGCGAATGGCTACTGTGCACTGAGACCCCTTCATGAGAAATAAAGCTCCTTTTTCCAAAGTATAAACCTCGTTCTTTAAAAAGTGAAAATAAAGACATGTCCACATGAAGACTTGTGATCAACTGCTCTAAGCAGCTTTATTCATAATAAACAAAAACTTGAAAGAACTCAAATATGCATCTACTGATGAATCAGTAAAAAATTTTGCATTGTATCTACACAACAGAACATTACTCCATAAGAAACAAAGAACTACTAAAATATGTAAAACATATATGAATCTCTAAAGAATCATGCCCTAAGCAACAGAAATCAAACACAAAATACTACATGCAATATGATGCCATTTATATTAAATTATAGAAAAGGGGAAACTGCAATGATAAAAAGCATATTCGTGGTTGTGAAGGGCAAGCGGGTGGAGGTGGCATTGACTATAAAGGGACGGGAAGGAATCCTGCGGGAGACAAACGTGTTCCAAATCATGATCACGGTGGTGGTGACTTGACGATATATTGATACATTTGTCCAAAACTTGCTGCGTTGTTCACTTAAAATCAGTGATTTTTATTGCATGCAAGCTATATCTCAATAAAACTGACCCAAAAATATAAGGAAAGGCTAAGAAACTGATTCACCTGGAAGAACTAAATACTCAGGATAAAGAATGGCAGACAAAGAAATGAAAATAACAGACACAGAGGGCACTGTGAGTACGTCTAACATACCTGCAACTGGAGCCCCAGAAAAAGAGAAGAGAGAAAATGAGGCAGAGATAAGCTGTGAAGAAATAAATAGTTGAGAATTTTCCAGATCCATAACTAGACACATCCTAGTGAAGCTGCAGAAAACCAAAGAGGAAGACAGAAATGTAGAGCAGACAGAGACCGATTATATTCAGAAGAGCAATAGTTAGACTGACGGTGGACTTCCCAGCAGCAAAAATGGAACCTGGGAAACAAGGGCATGGGATCCTCTCTGTGCTCAGGGAAAACAACTGTTGACCTAGAATTCCAGGGCCTGGGGAGTAT